GAGTGTCACTGTTTGATCAAAGAAAATCAAAATAGGAAAGGTTTATAATTAAATAGTTGTACAATACGGTGGTAGCTAGGTATTTCCGAATAGATATCGATCTTCAATTAACCAAGAAATGTCATGTTCGCTTCAAAATGCAAAATATTTGAGTCAAGATAGAGTACTGTAATATGTATGTATGTGAAATTTATATCCTTTATTAGACTAAAAAAAATGTTGTTTATTGGCATAGAATTGAATAAAAATAAATGTAAACTCTTGTAACTGTGATCAATTAATCAGCAATAGTGCAGCTATATATTCCGACCCCTTAAGAAGCCAACTATATATCATCATAAGTTAAACACGGAAAATAATGTCAGTTGACGTCGAGCCTTCCCAAAACAAATCATAATAGGACATGCCCTTGATTGAGCCAAAGTCCATGCATGTATACAATTTGGCCTGTTATATAATAATACAACACAAACCATTAGTTACAAAAGAATTCTTATTCACAATGATTTTCTAAAAGAATTTACACTCATTTTTCCTAGGAGTAATTTACTCCTCCATATGACCTAGAAGAGATCATGCTAATTACACGCATTTCCATGTTTCATAAATTGCCTTGTTTCATTCGTTCATCAAATAATAGCATTCCAGGCATTGTGATCAGATAAAGATAAACCATTAAATAAACTTTATTTAAAGAAACATTGTGGAAAAGAACTGATAGACTCTAGATAAGACAAGTATATATGTTGCAATCTAAAACCTAATTTCGAAAGTAAAAACTTGGAAACTTGAGCGGAAGGATGACCAAGACGATAATGTCACTTATGAGGGATGACTTTGATCGCATTGATCACCACTCACGAACTGGAGGAAGGAAGGGAGTACAAGCCACGCTCACAGGGGCCTTGGAAAAGAACTTTGCTGGTGAATTGGTATACAAATAGAGAGAAGATGAGAGTTAATATTGGGTGCATGAAGTACTAGGTTAGGCACTTGAAAAGTGTGGTGAGGGGTGGGTAGAAAATACTTGACCTTTGTGGTCAATTTGAAAAGTATTACCTCTCGCAGTGGTGATAGAAATGGTGGCTTAATATGGAAAAGAGTTTTGCAGCTTGGAAAAATCCGAAGTCACATGCGCATTTGGGGATGTGTCCAGATGTCAACTCTTAATTGGTTCAACAGATTGACTTGGGTAATGTGTAATAAGCCTATGGTGGACCATGACCATCATATAATTCATCGAAATGGTGCCAACAATTTCGGACTGTGTGTCTAGCTTTGCCACAAAGATGGCACGTGACCGAGCTCCCTTGCTGTGCGGTTTTGCCACCAAAAAATTGCTGCTGGGTACCCCTAATTTTGGGATAAAGACTAGCAGGTCCCATTGTTTTTCAAAATATACTCCGAGGTACCTTAAGATATTCGAAAACTGACTCCGGGGTGACAATCCGTCATTCTCTCCGTTAACATTTCTTCTCCGTTATCCTCCTCCTCCTCCTCTTCTCAAAAAATTGCTGCCAGGTACCCCTTATTTTGGAATAAAGACTGGCAGGTCCCATTTTGTAAAAAAATTTACTCATGGGAATTTAAAATATGATGTTTGTGACTGAAGA